ATCTTCCAGTATATAGACTGTGTTAGTCACATATTACGCCGTTATCTAACTACCACAGCCAACACTGTGTAGTAAGAATTGCATGTAAACGTCAAACAACGGCGGTTGATCGTAAAGTGATATCGACATATTTCCAGCCGCAAAGAAGGTTAAGATATGTGTCAAGTATTAATGTTATTCCATTTATTACGTTTAAGTATTGTTGGTGAAGCAATCGGGCGGTACTGCTTAGTACACTGTTACATTAAGCTTATGTCGATCAAAAGAACGTTCACATCAGCATAAGGACCGAGCGACAAGTTTGTAATTGCTAGCTACAGATTCAAAACTAATTTCGATGGTAAAACAGCTTTTACTAGCAAAAGAGGTTACATCGAAAAGCTTTTCAAGTTTAAAGCTTAAACTGAACAAATACCGATGATGAAATGCGTTTTGTAAATAAAATCGGTGAATGGAACGGGAACACGCAACGAGCTGTCTAAATAAATTTAAATCAGCTTTAGTTGAACTATTACTAAAATAATTCTCTTTACCCTTCAGTCTTTTCCATAAGAACAAAGTCCATTAAATTTTCCGCTCGGATCACATCAATATCAGTCCAAAAAAAGTGTAAAACAATGTTCTGTGCGTTTTCCGACGAAGTCACCGAGCTGGACAAAAGCGACAGGCGCCAAATATGCAGAGCATGCGCGCTCATTTCATGCAGAAAGTTACTCTTTGACTGAGCTGACATCCTAACAAGGGAGCGTTTGCGTCAATCATGTATTAAGTTCAATATTTCTTCGGCTCGTAATCATCTCTTCGAGTGATTGGTTCACCGGCAAAGTTGTGGGCATTCCTGTTAGAGGTTTTTAGCAGTGGAAAGCAGTGACAACAATCAGTAACGGTTTACGCGTGCTTCCGTGATCAAAGGTATTCGATTGAGGAATTACTATTTTTCTACGTTTCAGGATCTGTTCGATGCCACTTTCAGATATAAAGGTCCCCTTGATATCTCCTAATGTGTAACTTCTAATTAACGCTATTTATCGTGAGAAAACATGCAAATTTGAATCTCAGATTCCAGCGTTAGTGACGCGTCACAAATGTGCTGAATTTGCAACGTTTGGAAACTCAGCACATGAAATGAAAATATATGTGTTTTTATTTCTTAGAAAGTATAAGTAGTCCGTTACTGTAGAGCTGTTTCCTGAGTTCCATCCATGGTAAGAAAGCACTTTGTACTTTATTAGCAAATGTTTATCAAATGGATGTGTTAAAATGTAATCTAAAGGATGTACCTCGTAAACGGCAAACGCCATTAGATCAGGATCCTATCTCTACTTGCTGCAAGATTTGTCCTTGCAAACAAAACTTCTCATTTCGAAAACGGGCCGTTTTCCAATTGCCAAATTTCGCAAATAGGCTACTTAAACAATGATCTCAGTATGTGAGAAAATAAAGGCCTTCCGAAAAGGTCAAGTTAGCCCCCAGTACTGCCTTAAGTGGTCTCATCAACACTCTAAGAGGAAATACAAAGCTTCAATGAACAGTGAACTCATATTTTGTTTTGTATTTTTCCAGAATAATTTTTCAAATTTAAAAGCTTCCTGAGATGTCAAGACTTCAGAAGGTAGTAAGAGGATTCTAAATCTATTACAAAAATACCAACCTTTGATTTTGACAAAAACATTCATTCTCCTTGTTTTTTTAACCTAAATGTCTTCAGTGAGACTACATGTACCAATTTCAAAGAGAGTTGAAAAGGAAGACCCTTTAAGGATAATTTTAACTTTCCATGCAACTGTAATGGTTGTTATCAGTGACAGTGTCACTGACAGTGTAGATCTCTAAAGCAACTTAATATTTTCCTGGTTTAAATTTGTCTCGATCTACATGTATATGATTTTTTGGCATGGGATAAAAATCAACCCGAAGTTTACAAAAGAATTGACATTACATTTGGAGTGGATATCCATTATTGTGAAGTATTATTGTTTTACAGTTTATTGTCAATACCATTCTTGTTTTGTTGTTGTAGGATTCCACCGTTCCTAGTGTAGCCTCTACATCACAGGAATACCAGGAAAACAGGACACTTAGAGTCACTTTGCTAAGCAGTGAGTGGAGATCATCAACTGATGGGGACTTTTCAACTATCAACCGAGAGCTAGCCATCCAGTTAGCTAAACAGCCCAATGTGGATGTTAGTGTCTTTCTTCCAAATTGCAGTGGAGAGGACAGGAGCAGTGCTGAATATCATAATGTGAAGCTCATTGAAGCAGATAGAGTTCCTGGTGTGGACCCAGTTCTTTGGCTGTCATCTCCTCCAATAAACCATACAATGGACTGTGTTATTAGTAATGGAGTTCACCTTGGCCGACTAATTCCATTCATTAAGAAAAATCCAAATTATAATCATTGCAAATGGATTCAAGTTGTTTACTCTGATCCTGAAGAAGAAGGAATGTACAAAAACATTTCAGAAGGTCAAAAAATGCAAAAAACAGAAATCCAACTCTGTCAAATGGCTGACCAAGTTATCACAATTGGACCCAAGCTGGCAGAAGATTACAAGCGTTACCTTTGTCTAGTTAAACCAGAAGTAGATGTTTTTGAACTAGCTCCAAGCATTCTCTCTGAATTTTTAGAAGTAGAGCAAGCCATAGAAGAAAGAAGAACATTCAGTATTCTTTTATGTGAAAGTTGTGACAGCTGTGAAGATTTCATTGACAAGGTGTATGACATAGCTGCTGAAGCAATTGCTATGTTGAAAGATCAATCCTACAAACTCAAGGTTGTCTGCCCAGCTGGAGGAAAAGGAAATATTTTAAAAGCAAAGTTGCTCTACCTTGGCATTTGTCATAGTCAGCTTATTTTTCGTGACTTTTTTGATAGCAGAGAAGAACTGGCTGACTTATTCTGTGAAGTGGATCTTGCAATAATGCCATCCAGGACAGAAAGTTTTGGAATAACAGCTCTGGGAGCATTATCTGCTGGTCTGCCTGTACTTGTCAATGGTAATTCAGGACTTGGAGAAGCTCTGAAGGAAGTGCCTTTAGGCTCACACAGTGTAGTAGACTCTGAAGATCCTAAAGACTGGGCTAAAGAAATCAAGCGTGTCCGTCAGAAAAAGAGAGAAGTGCAACTTTCAGAGTCAAGATTTTTACGCGATTTTTACTTGAAGAGGTATAGCTGGGAGAAGCCTTGTAAGAGTCTTGTGATAAAGATGAGGAACCTTTTCTTAGGTAAATTTACTTAAATTTAAATGTTATAGCCTTAACTTGGCTAATAAAGTTGAAAGTTGAACAAGCATGGTCAACTTGGTTGGTGTCTTTTTTTAGATTGACTTGGATTTAAAAAAAAAAAAACAAAACCAAAACAAAAAAAACAACAAATTAAGGATAAGTATAACAGAGTCAGAGTTCCATGCCAAATTTTTGTGTGTGAATGATGCTTAAAACAGGCAATTCCTCTTGTAGGGTAATTAAGTATTATTAACTGAGTTGATAATGTAAAATGGCCACCCTAATGAGTTTTAAAGCTGGCATTTTGAGCATTAGCTAGGTTAGCATGAGGGGCTAACACTTGAAATGTTAGCTTTAAAACTCTTTTCTTTGGCCATTTTATGTTATCAACTCAGTTGAAACACCAAATTACTCTGTTATACTCTCCCAACGATGCAGCAGCACAGTTGTTTTAGAAGCTAACCCCTTAATTAAAATCTTCTTGTAGTTGACCTTACTCAGTATACCTTTGTTGTCACATTATCATTTTGCAACAAATTCTTTTAAAATATCTTAAGCTTTGAAAACTGTTGTTCGCTCTGCTCCCAAATCCTCAATCCTCAACCCACATAGTTCGTACTGTTTTCTTCTTAAGCCATATGCCATGATTTTGTCAGCAACCTTTCATGTACATGTATAAAGTAATGGTCACCAAGTTGTTTTTCTCTTAGGTGAGAGTGCAGTCCTCTGTAATCTTCAACAGCAGCAACAGTATGTCAGTAGATCGAAGATCAGCAGAAATACAGACGTACTCACAGACTTAAGGAAGATTGCTTCAGAAAAGGGCTATAGAGTTTCTGACAATCTAGGGTCAGGAAATTGTATGTTTTATGCCTTGTCAGAGCAACTGGAGATTGTCAAAAGAGTAAAGATCCATCATTTTGAATTAAGGCATTCCTTAGTTCAGTATCTAAGAGAGTACCCAAAATTGGTGAGTATTTGGTAAAGTATGTGTAATGTCTAGAGCAGATACTAAAAATGTATCTTCTGTTCCACATTTAAGTCAAATGTTAGGAATTATAATTAGAACATTTTCATGGCTTTGATCAGGGAAAAAAATCTGTGTGTGTAATACATGAAGTTGCAGTTGACACAATTAGAAAGGATAACTTCTCTTTGTATCACTACAATGTCTTCCTTGTTTTAGGTTATTGCTATGTTATTTTTAGAACAACTGTGAGCAATATAATGCTGATAAACTTGTTTATAATCATTCATTTAAATAGCAGTGCTTTCAATAAGACCTGGCACCTGATGGAGCTCTGGCGGGTATTCTGCTGTAAATTGCCAGGTATACTTTGAAAGCTTTCAAGCAAACTCATGAAGTGAGACCTAAAACACCATGAGGTCTTCTAGCATTCTTTCAGTTGACTTTTATCTTTTTAAATGAGTTTTGACAAATTTGATTGATATTGTCTTATTCTGAAATCCAGCATACATTTCATATGTTTCGGGCAAAAAAGGATTTTGAGTTTCCAACAACACACTGACTCAAATTTCAGAAGAATTTCTGTGTGAAACTCAGGAAGCAGGCTTTCATGTCTGCAAATGGAAGATTTTGATCTGAAATAAAACAATCAATTAAACAATTGTTGTAAAGGAGACAAAAGTTTCATAATCATCTCAGTCTGGAATTTTAACACCAAAAACTCAGTTTGAAGTCAGTTTATTCTGAATGGAAGTACAGGAATAACAAGAGGAATATTCTCCAGTGGGTGCTTTACCAAGGTAGCCACCTCCCTCAAATCTTATTGAAAGCATTGAATTGATCCTTTTTTGCTATTATTTTAAAGATTAGATATGTTAGTTGTAAAAATTACCCCAATCCAACTTACACAGGGATTACTCTTAATGATTATTGAGCTTAGCAACTAAAGAGTCTTGTATTTGTCTTGAATACTTTTGAATGTAATATTCATTATGGGAAAATATTACCCTGTTGAGTCATTACTAGTTGCTCTATCTATTACTATTAATATTACATGTTTTCTTGTTGGACTTTCCCTCAAAGGTGGATGGAACAGATCTGTTTCACTTTGTAGATGGACACGCAACGTGGGGTGGTTACTTAACAGACATGGAACAAAATGGCACATGGGGTGATCATGTGATTCTCTGGGCTGCAGCTAACTGTTATCAAATAGCCATTCATGTGATTAGTAGTCTTCCAGGTCATAGGGAAGTAATTATCAAACCAGATATTCCATTTGACCAAAGCAAGCATCTTGTACTTGGACATGTCCATGAATTACACTATGTCAGCCTTCAGCCCTTGCAAGGTAGGGCTTAGAATATAACACATTTAAAGGTTAGCCTATCCATGAATTTTATGAACAGGATGTTTTAAATATCATAACTGAGTGCATTCTACAAGTGCATTTTACTCCCATACAGCTACAAGCTATACATGAACATACAAATTACCATTTCATTAAAGCTTGCAGAGCTGCCTGTTTTGATTTATCTGTGATGTAGGTAGACCTCTGTAGCTTGTACATATATGTATGTTTTGTTTACCCATTTCAGGTCTTGCGATATTTACTCTACAATGTGCTTTAGAAACTTGTTCTACTGCTTCCTAAAAGTTCCTTAGATAAAGCAGAATTAATATTGGTAATAACATGATTTCAAGTGCAATTCAATGTAAATAAGCACAAATAAAATTTCCACACCATGTGGTTGACAAATTGATCTGATGTCAAATAAAAAATTAGTTGAAGGCAACATATTAGCTATATTCAGTATCTGTGATTCCTAAGCTTTTCTTTGGTATATGGTCCAGAAATATAGTTATTGTGTTACTCTTGTTTGAAAAAAGTGTCTTTTTTCATGTTTACCTTCTCCTTAAGAGTTGTCTGAGTCTGATTGTAATCAAGTCCTAGACAAGTTTAACACACATATTTTGGTCCTCTTATCTTTAAGCTGCACTGTATCTAGGGTTTTTGGAAAATGAAAATCTGAGTACTAACCTAAAATCTAAACAGAAATAGGGTAGAAGTAGTCCTACTAGAAGAGAATGGGTAATTCTCATTTAGCAATTAAAAAAAAATTTTATCTTCATTTTTTTATGTTTGGTTCAGTTTTTCTTTTTAACTTACTTTGAGGATTTAAGCATGCTTTCTTTTCTTATTCTTGTCAAAATTTCGAAGGTTGTATAACATTCTTGCCATTAGATCTTCAACAATCTTCCATTTCCTTGCCAGGATCTTCAAGGATCTTGACATTCTTGTCAAGATCTTAAAGGATATTCATACCTCTTGCAAAGATCTTTAATTTGCCTGCCAAAATCTTCAAGGATCTTTCTTTTTCTTGCCAAGATATTCAAAGATCTTTAAATTTCTTGTCAAGATTTTTAAGGGTCTTTTATTTTCTCTCCAAGATCTTTAATTTTCTTGCCCAGATCTTTAAGGATCTTCAAAATTTTCAACAAGATCCTTGAAGATCTTGGCAAGAAAATGAGAGATCTTCAAAGATCTTCACAAGAATTTGGAAGATCCTCAAAGAATTTTCAAAGGATCTTCAAAGTTCTTGTAAAGATCTTTGAAAATTCAGACAAGATCTTCAAGGATCTTGACAGGAAAATAATAGATCCGTAAAGATCTTGGCAAGAAAATCAAAGATCCTTGAAGATCTTGACAAGAACTTTGAAGATCCTTGAAGATCTTGGCAAGAAAATCAAAGATCCTTGAAGATCTTGGAAAGAAAATCAAAGATCCTTGAAGATCTTGGCAAGAAAATGAAGGATCCTTGAAGATCTTAACAAGAATTTTGAAGATTTTCAAAGATTTTCCAAACATACTTATGAAGATCCTCAAGAGGATCCTCAAAGGTCCTCATGAAGATCTTGCAGCATCCTTAAAGATCCTTGAAAGATTTTCACCAGGGTTACTACATGATAACCACAATAATTATAAATCATTATTACTTAGTTGTTATTGTTATTTCTATTATAGTTATTGTTGTTATTCGTATCATTTTCATCATGATCATTGTTTTTGACTTTGGGTGAGCAAAGCCGTAACCAGATATTAAGCAAATGGCTGCAACACTGTTACATTACATTAAACACTATTTTGATTGCATATCATCTAAGAAATTTTTAGATTGATCGACTTGCATCTGTTAATGGCACATGAATATTACTGACATAGAGCTAGGTTTGAAATATTATAAGCTCCTTGCCTACTGGGAACATTGTCATCCTTCAACTCCAGTTATGTTATATCTGCATTTGATCATGGTAGTTACAGGATTGCAAATGATATACAGTTGCAGGAGAACTTTTCCAGTTACTTAGAAGGGTTTCATTGGTCGTTTCAGTCTTTTAATAAAGTTATGGCTCAGCAGATGGTTAATGTTATGAAAACATGATATCCTCAAGAGTCTTTCTTTCTTTGTTGGAAACATCTGTCTAGTACCAAAACCTGGGAGAAAACATAAAACAAAATCTTACTAATTTTCCAAATTTGTTTATTGCAACCCACAGGTTATGACCAGGAGCTTGCTGACTTTTATGCGAGCCTGCAGCCATCTACAACTAGATCTGGCAGTCCACAGTGTAAGACTAAGAATCAATCAGTGTTCATGATTATCACTATTTATTAATTATTCAAGATCTCTTTACATGCACTCTCATTAGTCGATAAGTGTGTTTAGTTGAATATTTCAAATATCATGTAACCTTGAATATCACATTTTTACCCTATCCTTTTCATCTCTCTTACTTACATACTAGCTTCTGCTTCCACTGAAGTGAAGCAAGAGGAAGAAAGTGGCTCAGCTGCCCAAAAACATAAACTTGATCCTATTGGGGAACCTGGAACTTCTGGGCTATCCTACCCTAGTAAGACAAGGAAGTTTAAGGGTAAGGGCAAAAGGAAAATTACATTTTAAGTTGGTTAATTATCCAGTATTATGACATTTCAAGAGTCAATCATGTAAAATTTCTTTGCAGACTTGAAGAACCTTCAATCTCTCTCCCAAAATAGTTTTTGTGATAAATTGTTACTGACTTACAATCAGTTATACCCCCCTACTAGCTGTCAAAAGATAAATCAACTCTGATCAGTTTAATTCAACATACCTGATAATATGAGGAATGTATGTGTGGGTATGTATTTGTATACCTATAAAATTGTGACTAGTCCCCCCAATATGGCTCATCTCAGCACCAATACGAACAATCTGGCCCCAAACATGGTAATTAAACATGGGGTGTAAAAACCCCAACTGGCAGGAAGCAGGCTGCAGTTGGCTATATACAAAGCACAGCAAAGGAATTGAACTCAAGGAACCATTTAACCCTTAAACTCCCAGAAGTGATTAACAAGTAACTTCTTCCTACATAGTATCTAAACATTATCTTGCAAACAGGTCATGAGGAATTGCACCGCGTTCGCCCCCTATCGAGTTTGCCCCTTCGAGTTCGCCGCTACCTTATGCCGTGTTCGCCCCCACACTTTTCAAGTTCGACCCCATCAAGTCGAGTTCGCCCCTTGATTGAGTGATATCCAGATGAGTTGATTTGTGACGAAGGCACTAGCAGAATGTGCCAAATGTCACGTCAGCGACGACCATTTTGAATTTCGGCAAACCACGCTTTCATCGCCCTAGCTCCCACGCACATATAAACTTTCAAAATGGCCGTCGGTCAATTAAAATTCAAAACTTGTCTTGGTTCTAACTTGTTTGCAATGTTCGATAGCAACTAATTTGGACATGACTCAATCTGGGGCGAGCTCGACTTGGTGGGGGTCGAACTCGAAAAGTGTGGGGGCGAACACGGTATAAGGCAGGGGCGAACTCGAAGGTGCGAACTCGATAGGGGGCGAAAGCGGCGGATACCGGTCATGAGTATATTCATGCTTATCAGGTTGAAGTTGTTATCTCAATCTGACACCATATTAGAGTAACTTATTCACAAGGAATTCGAAATGTGTAGCAGCTAAAGGGGAGAGTTAACAATCAGATCTTGGGAGGTGGCAGGGTGGAGGGCTTGTTCACAGGATTACCAGACTACAAACCCAGTGTCCTTACCACTTGGCCACTGTGCCTCCTTAATATGTGATAGAAAATCTCTGGCATGACAGAAAAAAAGCCCTTGCTCTTTCCCCCCCCCCCTTGAAAAAATTCACTTGTAATGGGTGATTTTGAAATTGTTACTGAGTCACAGTTTTTAAAGCTGTTAATCATAAATTAATTAACTCTACTTGTTTTATATTCAAGAGGAAATAGTAACTGGTGATGACTTACTTTTTTGGTTAAGTTTGGTTATTGAATTATTAATTATTGAGTTATGCCATTTGCTATCAATTTAATACATTTTTAATTTCTTTTAATCTACCAAGATCTTTTTTAACCACAATTGGCAGTAATAGCATAATCTAATCAGCTAATTTGCAGTTGCACCTTGTGAATCCAAGACATTTTGACTACTGTGATGACAAATGTCATTTTCAATTAGAGAGCAGATCATGCTAAACCGCTGTCCATTTGTTAATTAGATAAACTTGCTGTACAATGTACAATTGAGAATAAGGAGCTGGGTTTGAAGTGTGATAAGCTCCTTGCTTATCTGTATGCTTGTTTCATCAAAAACATTTAGTTCCCATGGAAGGTGTGATGTCCCAGTTGGTAGATGTTAAGATGGAACCAGATACTATGCAACACTTAGAACTGAAGAAAGATCTATTACGGGATGTTGAAGAGATCGAAAGATCTGTCATTTTTAGGTAAGAATTACTATATCTAACTCATCAATTTATCAGTGGTAAGATGGCTCACATTACAAGAGTTAACCAGTACGTTTGGAGAATCGATATTAGTAATCAGTGGATGATAAAAAGTGAGCTAATATCACAGAACGCCCAATGAACTTCGAACCAAAAAGATTGATTGATGAAGGTGGCAATGGTTTTACCATCTAATATTGAGAGATGACGACTTCTTTCTGATGGGAATTTAAGCATTTTTTAACCCTTCTCAAAAGAGCCTATATGAACTCTTACAGACTTAGAAATTTCTATCACTGGTTCATGTGGCTTTTGCACAGGTGTAAAGATAAATCCATGGTTAAAAAAGGAGTGGTGTAAGGAAGCTAAGTTAGTGCACAGACCTTGGTCAGAGTTTCTTTCCTTCCTTTTTTTTTTTCTTTTTTTTTCAAAAGTAAAAAAAAAAAGAAAAGCGCTTTGCAAAATTAGCCCCAGGATGGAACATATAAGTTTGTTCAAAGGTAGCTTTGAGGACAAATGTCATCAGTCCTTATCATTTTTTGGTTATATTTAATGTTCCAAAGCATAACTGTTATTGCCAACCTTATTTTCAGGGGTGAAGTTACAGAAAAAGGTAATGTATGGAACCTACCGGAAGCAGCCGCCTATGTCACATTTCATGAAGGGGCTGTGCCAAAACCTTTGTTATTTACTTGTTCAGTATGGCCTCCTAAACTTTGCAGTCCACCCATTTCTAGTGATGAGCTTTTGGTAAGCAATGTGATTGAATTGTCACACGATGGTCCACCAGACCTAGAGTTACGTGGAGATGACGAAGGAAACGTAACTGTGGCTTTGTTGCACAGTGCCAGTGATTTGAAGGGCTATGAAGTGGTTATCAAGCAATTGGTGGATCCATATGACAACGTATGGAAGGATTTGGAGACTTGGCATGCATCAGGTACAGGTTACATGTCATTTATGATGATTGTTAGTGAGTTTTTGGATAGTGTTGCAAAACCAAAGTACAAACTATAATCATGACGGCCAATCAGAATAAAGGAAATAATGAGAACTCAAAGTAAAGCGCGGGAAAACACGGGTGATCAAGTCTTGGTTTGTTTTATTTTTGCTTTTGATTGATTGAAAGAGTGGCCTGAGTTTTCTGGACCAATCAAAGAGCAAAGGAAAGCAAAAACAAATCAATCACGGGTTACTTTCGACACTCAATTGAAAATTGCTCTTTATGATTATCGATTGTGAAGTCTGAAAACCTGGGTGAGGGTATATAGTCCTGAAAAGAACGGATTACGTTGAAAGTTTGTAGCATTTCGTTGACCTTGAGCAGAAGTCAGTCCAGTGTGGAGTTGTTTGTTACTTTTATGTCTGATCGAGATTTCTGGGTTCAGCGCAAGTTGACTCATCTACTAGTTTGTTGGTATGCTTCGTCCTTTTTTGAATTGTTTTGTTTTGATTTCTGAGACTTACAGCCAATGACACCACGGCAAAACTGACCGATCAGTTTTCGCAAATCAGACTCATATGTTCTACTGACAAACAACGTTTCGCGTGAAATTGATGATGGCTTCCCCAAAGGTTGCTGAAACATCAGTCATTTACCACCTACAACAGTCTTTAGCCAGAAATTTAGACTTCACAATCATTTTTTCCTCCTTAGTCTATCCTTTGTCAGCATCATAGAAGTGACACAGTTGTAATTTTTTTAGCACCTATTAACCCTTTGACCCCTGAGAGTGACCAGCATCTAATTTCTCCTTACAATATCACCCCTGAATCACACATGAAGGTCACAAGAAAAAAGGAAATGATCACCAGCTAAAGAAGCTCTTAATTGTTCAACAAATTCTCCTTGTCGGCACCTTAGGAATGTTTAGAGAACAGTATGGAGAATATGCATACTGATGTTAGGGTGTAAAGGGTTAAGAAAACAGCTCAAAATCTTAAACTAAAATTTAACGTTTATGTGTAGAAAAACCAGAAGTTTCTGACTGGCCTCAGCTTGTTGAAGCTACATGCACCCCGTCACGATTTTCTTCCTTTGCTGTCGTTTGGCGCCTTAAGTCCTTCACATTCACAAGTGGTACTTTAGTGGCTCCTCAATTCACATGTGTAGTACCTGACTTTCCAGACATACGTGTTGAAGTTCCTCTCGGTTCTGTACCGGTTGATCAGGATTTTACTTTGACAATTAAGGTACAGGAAAACCCCGTTAACTTGTTTGATTAACTCGAAACCTCCCCCGCTAACTCCTGGAATTGACCTTGTTTTTCCAGTCATTTACTATTAGCTGGCTCAAACTTGGTGTACTAAAACTGCCCGTTAACTCAAACTAAGTTTACTTTCCCTTGGCTCAAATTCACGCTAAAAAGTCGAACTTAAAGTAAAATTGTTGGTCCCAAGATTTTCAAAATCAGAATTAGATTTTTTCTTTTGTCCTAATTCAGAGGCAAATGACTTTAGGACGTGTGTGCATGTGCTTGTTAATACATTATCTCTGTTACTTTTACTCCTCAAAACATGCGTCCACAGAAGTAACTTTTTAAAAGATGATCTTTCTTTACTCAGGGACAATCTGAAAATTTATGACCTATCCTGATCTAAGAAAGAATAGTGTTTTATGTGTATGTAATTCACCAAAGTCAACACCTATTCTGATTTTTCATCTAAGGTACAAGAATTTCCAAGCAATGAGGTTGAAGACATTGGGATGCTGTGTGGTCCTGTCATTCACATTTCAAGCTCTCAGAACATTGAACATATGGAGCCTGTGACTATCAAGGTTCCCCTCGCCCTTCGTGAAAGTAAGCATGACTTATCAGAGCTTTCAAATGAGGTCATAAGGATATCATACCTCGATTCAGAGGGCAAACAATGGAGAGATATCACAGGTCAACTAGAGGGGCCAGTTACAGTTAAAGATGGAATTGTAGAATTCAAAGTGAAGCATTTTAGTCGGTGAGTTATGCAAGGTCTTAAGTTTAGTTTCATGGGAAGAGATTTCTTATTTATTTTTTCTTTCCATTAATGGGATGTTTGTCATGTGGGCCTAGTTTTCAGCCCCTAGTTACATGACACTCTGGTTGGCGGCACTCCTAGTGTTTTTTCTCCAGAGCATGCCTTTAATTTGTTTCTGACAGGGTAAGTTGGTGGTGAGCCACACTGCCGCGCGGGAGGTGGAGGGTTCTAGCGGAGGAACAGACTAACATTAAGCGTATTGAGAAAAATTGAGAAGCGTATGGTACCTTTTAGATGTCATTGGGAAATAATTAGACTAGTCAGTCTTCTTGAATAAAGACTATTAACCAGGGTTTCTAATAAAAAAAATCCCCTGAACGGTAGTCTACTGCCACCCTAAAGACCATTTACCACCGTCTGTTGAACCTGCAAGCAGGCTCTCTTGAGATGGACGTGTCTCAGAGTGAAACAGCCTTCCAGGTTTTCAAACACTAAGGATCATTTTTGAGTAAGATGTTGCAGTGTATTCATGTTTTTACTTTTTGTTTTGCAGTTTCTGTCCAGTCTGCATGTTCACAGAGTCTGTTGCTCTTTTACAAGATTTTTTTCATCGTCTTTCCTTCAGACTCATGCCTCAATGTGTACATTTTCTCACTTGTTTATGTAAGACAACAGTTCCTGATACTTACAGCCTTTCACTGTACTGTTATCCAAACTTTAAAAAAGCTGAGGTGGAAAAGAAATTGTCAAGATATGTCACACCTTACCAAGGTGAAGGAAAGTCAAAGGAGCCTGCTTGTGTTGGGGATAGAATTGTGGTTTCCTTAATAGCACTTGATTTTGTGAGGGAGTCTCAAAGGAATCAAAAGTTAGTTCTCAAGTAAGTTATTGATTTCCTTTGAAAAGTTTTTCATGATACAGCGTAGTACAGCTAAGAGTCTTGACTTACCAAATTACCTCTTGACACTCTTACTCCAAAGATCCAACTATTTATTCTCCCCTCTAGCCGCAACAGATTTCCTTGTAAATTAATAATGAGAATTTAGTGTTTGACGAAGATTACAACTTCTACCCAATAAGTTTAAATATTCTCATCACCTGATTGCTGGATAATAATTTTATGTGGATATTACGAGGAGAGGTGACATGTTAATCACTTCTGGGAGTAAAGGGGTTTAAAGGCAACAAAAACAAAACCTTGCAGGTTTTGTACATTTTTATGAATCGCTTCCGTAGGTCACTGACACTTATAATATTTTTATTGTTTATTTATTAAATTATCTTGTTAGAAAGTTAGGTATATATTTAAACTTTGAATAATGCATAATAACTTCTTTATTAATTAGTATTTGTACAGGTCACATCTCGGTAGCAGGGTTAAAAGTTCCACATTCATCGGGTTGAATATGAGTTGGGGTGAGGGTTGGTTGGCGGCCAGTATGAAGTAGAGAAGTAGAGAAGTAGAGGTAAAATGAAACCCACACAATCTAGCTAGAAACAATTATTTGGTTTCCATTTTTCAGGTTTCTTGGAAATGATATATCTGACAACAGTGATATGGCTTTGATTGTTCGCTTGGACAGTGAAGGTGTTCCAATAGTGAAGTTCTCGAAAGACGAAGAACTGCAAAAAGTTCTCTGTGAAGTGCCAATCTTAAAGACTCGACCGGCATCTGTGGTACAGATAGCATCGTTTAGTAAATGTTCCTTTAAGGGGAATATTCAACTGAGTGTTGAAAGTAAACCGAGATTTTATTAGCTTTACTTTACTTGGCTCTTTGATTAGTCCAGGAAACTGGCACCTCTCTCTCAAACTATCAGATGTAAAACAACTCAGTTACTTACGTTTCCCCGCGCTTTAGGTTGTTTGTTTGGGTTTTACTTTGACCTCTCATTGGCTCTCAAAGGTATTTTCCTTTCTTTCAAATGCCCGTTGTGATAACTTTGCTTTTTGGTCTTAGGATAATTAACTTTACAACACTCCAATTTACCAGTAATTCATGACCTTAACCAACACTTATTATAAGTACAGTAGCTTACTTTGTATCTTAAACTTTATTAGATGAATCGGGGATTATTCAAGCGTAAATGCTAGATTCTAAAATCTCGAGAATGAAATCGGTCAGAATACTGGTTCTTTTAGTTTTTAGTATCTTCACGCCTGAAATACCATTTGACATCGAGCAGATGAGTAAGATGAGTTTATTTTAAATCATGATTTCTTATGATTATGTCGCAGGTTCCTGTAACAGAGAGCAGAGATCAAAGAGTGGCACCTGAGGAAAGACCTGCACTGGGTGAGTGGACCTTGACAATCACTTGAAAAGAAAAAAAGGGGGGGGGGGAGGAGATGATCATAATACCACGAATTGTATTCCTTTTTTTTTTTGCAACTAGTAGATCACTAAGCCAGATAGCAGGATGCAGTTTTGATTGACACTTATTTTGATAGGGGAACAGTCACTATCTATGGGGGGAGGGTTGAGGATTTTGGTCAAGTCACGATAAAATGAACCTGATCCCCCCTAAAGGCTCTGTAATATATTTATAATTTCCTCCCCCCTCAATGGTAGTTTATTGGGAGTCAATTTTCTATAAAACCCCCCTCTGTACTCTGTTGATGACAACTGATTCCCCCTCAGTTTCCCCTGAAAACCATGTGATCCCAAACCATGAAACTGAAACTGAAAACCATGTGATCCCAGGCAATTATCAGGTGATCTAGATGGCAGACTCTGAGGAGAGTTACTCATGAGATCTGGGAGTGAAAGCGTTAATAACTAAAGTAAGTGTTTGGTATCTCAGGGTGTCAAGTTTCTATTTTTTCCAATTTTTTGCCTGCCTCCTATTTTCTCCTACTTTTTCAAGAAACTCCTAGTTTTTCCTTTTTTTAGGGTTTTACTGGGTACACAGAAACACTTTGAAATATTTGAAATAAAATTGCCAATAAAATTGATAAATTCTACAAAAAAAACTGAAACTTCATGTCAAAAAAGACCAGTTTGAGGCCTTTCTGAGTGATTTTCTTCTGAAACTCGTAGGACAAAAGGGAAAACTGTTGACTGACAAACAGTAGAAACTGTTAGAAAAGGCCATCTCCTCAACAGCAAATGCGGCCAAAAAAAGGAGCAAAGCTAAGGTTACCCAATCTGCTAAAAGAGCGAAAACAGTATACTGGTAGTGTTGGACTTTTTGGTTGTTGATGTTCAAAAGTCGTGGTTGGCTTCTATTGTGAGGAAGACGTACATTTGGTGACAGTGAACTTGATATTGTTTCGATTTGTCAAAAAAATTATTGTTGCTTATCGTTCTCACAGTTTTAAAGGACTAATGACTTAAATTAAAGGCATCTCGTGATGTACCTAATGAAATTTGGAATCTGGTGATTATTGTAGGATGAGTTGTGCTTGGTAACATAGGTGGTAACACTTGTTTTTGTTTATATGGCAATGCATTGTGGATGTATGCCATGGTGCCTGTTAAATATTAAAGCACTGGGTTGTGGAACAGAGTTGCTGTTGGGAGTGTTAAGAGGATAGAACTCAAAGAAATCCTCCTATTTTTTTCCTATCTTGGGGTGAGAATTCCTATTTATTTCCTATTTTTTGGCCACTTTCATTCCTATTTTATAAGTATCATTTGTCACTTGGCACCCTGGTATCTCAAAATCAACAGTTTACATCAGAACCTTGAATGCGCAATAAATTTTTAGTTTCAGCATGAGAGGCAAGTTTGAATTTTTTTGCTTGAGTATCATGCTCAATGTGTAAGAGTTAAAAGCTCTGCGTGTAGAAGCCTTATTGACTACATAGTACCTCTATGGTACCTCTATTGATTAGAGCTACCAGGGAATAAAAATACTGTTCTTCAAGTAATTGTTAAAATTGGGTTTTAGGAAGTATTTATTCAGTGAGCAACTTTTTCATTTAAAGATATTTAAAATTTGAATTTTATATTAATCTTATGCCCAACTGGTTTTAGTCAATGCAGGTGCAGAAGATTTGAATTTTTTTTTTTTCCCAACCCTCAATTAGTTGCTGATGTAGAGAAGGAGGAAAAAGATAATGAAGATCAATGCAATCCACGTGGTAAGAAATTTTATTGGTTGACCAACATTTCCTAAGATTACGATCGTTACAACTTGATACTGAACGTATATTCAACCTATGATGTGACCATAAATCGTGCTGTATACTTTTGTCATGACTTATTGACAACTGAGAAATTATCTTAAATTGTTTTACTTGATTTTCCGTCCTAAGTCAACTAACAGTTGTCTTTATTTATGCTTCTCATTAACAATTAATTTGTCTTTGTAGTCAAACAAGGTACACCCAGTGACGATGAACTGGAATATCTTGCCTCAAAGCTTAGTGATCTTTGGAAAAAGCTTGGGCGCCGCTTGAAAATCCCAGAACCAAAGCTTGATGATCTGAACAAATTAAACGAGGCTCTCTCTGAAAAGGGATATAAAATGCTCAGGCATTGGCAGGAGGTAAACGGGTCAGCGGCAACGTACGAAATTTTGGGTCATGCCTTACTGGATAGGCTTGTGAATCGACGAGATTTAGCGGAGGAATTTTGCTATGAGAAACAATAACCGAAAAATGTGCCCCTAACGTCAGATTGTATATTTTGTATGTACTAATTCTTATATTAATTTAATCTTATTTTGTGAGTATCTGATTTCTGATTTTTGGGGTTTTCGTATCAGGCGGCGACACAAAAGCGTTTTAGCCCGAGAGGTGATGACTAGTTTTTTACTATTCTGTGCAGCTTTGTCGGACGGTATTAAATTCTCGGGCTCCTAGTTCGAGCCGCACACCCACTCTTGTGTATGAGTCGTGAATTTAAATAGGAACAGTACATTTCTTAAAGTCACCGAAACAGATCGGCATAGTATCCATATCCACATTCTGAGAAACTTTTTCTACCTTCCGTGACACGGACTCCCTGCTAGAATCGACACTAATTGTCGCACTTACTGTTGATGGTTCCAACTTAGGACCTAATATTGCTGATACTTTAGTCTGGACCTTTTCATTAGCTTTCTCATACTTCATCAAAGCATCGATCTATCCTGAATTAGCTTCCTGTCAACACCAGCATTAAACTTGACGCACACGTTACGCGTAAACAGTGCGCAGTTTTTCGCTTTCTTCCGGCAGCCTCGCACATATCAACAACAACAACAACAGCATTTATTTAAACACGATAAAAAATTCAGCAAAAGC